TGAAGTTATTATGAAATTCACCACGCATGATGAAATCAGTAATTGATTATTTCCGCCTCTGGCGAGCAGTGTGGAAAAAGTAGTAATAGTAGTAATAGTATATTTACGAATCTTGTATTTTGCAATAATGTTGAAAAAAATGGATAAAGCAAGCTACACATCAAATGACTGGGGTATATTTATTGACAGCTCAAAAAGGAGTTTAAAAGCCAATGGGTCCCTCAATAACAATGAAAGAAGGATATTCTAAAATTGATTATGTTTTAGAGAAAATCAAATACCATGAACATCAATGGGTTGTGTGCGTTGATCTAAAAATGGTAAATTTTCTTCTTGGACAACAGAGCAGCTATACAAAATTTCCATGTTTTTTATGTTTATGGGGCAATTAAAGGAAAACAGTAGTCATAAGAAAGAAGAAGTCTGAACAATGAAGACACGAGTTTTAATTATTTGAAAATTACGTTCCCACGCATTTTCGACGGCCCGCAAACGAAAACTTTGTTCAACTTTATTCTTTTGTTCAAGTAGTCCGAAAGTTCCTTAAAAATAGAAAAGCAACGGATTATTATTGTTATCCAACTTTCGAAAACATGGCTGTAACGTGAGTATAACGGTCCATTACCCGCATAGTCACTTGGATTACTTTCCAGCTAATCTTGGACATGTCAGTGAAGAGCAAAGGGAAATTTTTCACCAGGATATACCAAAAAAATGGAGCGGACACTCATATGATGGCCAATAGTCGGCTGTTGGAGTCTACGAAGAGATAGTTCAACTACGAATGAAAATTCAAGAAAGTTAAAAAGGTGTTTTTACGAGTTATAGAATGTTTTTTTGTCATTCACTGCAGAACATTATTTAAGCTTCGTCAAAAAATGTTGTTGTTTTCCATTTTGAATTATTATGAACAAATTTTTTTATTGTTAACTTTCTGCAAAGAATTAATCAGTTAGGGAGTCGCAAGAAACTCCAGCAGCAGAAATGACTCAAACTATTGATCTCTACACTAATTGTTGATTTCATGACGGCTTCGTGAGTTTCCATCCGATCATCATGAAATTTGGCATAAATGAAGAAGCCGAGCCAACAAACAGACACAATAAATTTCATTTCGAATGAACATAAATCATATTCATACAAGGCATTGAATTTCAAAAATTTCCGAGTTTAAGTAAAAAAATCGATTATTTCTAGTCCCAAAAACGATTTTTAAATAGAAAAACTTTGAAAATATGAAAAATTTTTAGGTTTTTGGTTCAAATAGTACCCACAGCGACATAACAAAATAGTTTCAGACAAAGTACATAAGAAAAAAAATTATGAAAATTAAAACATTTCGAATACCGCAAAAACAAGAGCTCATTGAGAAAAATCGCTGTTATTTTTGGATTCAGTATGACCTAATTACCGTAGCAAAATGACTGTTGACCAGTGTAACAGTTGCTATCCCCCTTGTAACGTACTAGCTCAGTTCTATTCTCCGTTCGTGAAGGGTATAATTCAAGTTCATTTTTGCAGTAAGTATGTTGTTGCTTTCCAAGAAGCCTCAGATAATAATTATGTAATTAATCCCTCACAAATTGTGCCACACGGAAGACTAGTGTAAGGCGGGGTTTCACCTTGTCACAGCTAAAAAACTGTGAGCTGTGAAGAAAGCGCAATTGCGCAACGAAAAGCCAATACACGATTTTTACTGTAAATTGATTTGAACAGTTATTAATAAGAATTGCTACGTTAAGTACCGTTATTATTGGCATATACATATGTATGCGTACATTTGTTTACAACAGAATGTGGTTTTCTGCTTTAACGTTTTATCGTGGAGAAAAGCTTTAGGGAAATTCATACAAAATGAGGTGTTTTTTTAATTTGCATCACCAACAACAAGTATTCAAAACATTTCGCCATAAAAATAATATGCAGGAAATGTGCTTAAGCATGCATACATATAATGCATTTATTCGCATGAATGCACTTGTGCACTTATTTGCTTGCTAAATGGTAGTAAAAGCATTTTATATGCTTTATGACTTATCACTTGACTTATTATGTGCAGTGTGTACAGGGTTCAGTTGTCTCATTGGCATTGTTTTCTGGGTCAACATTCGGTTCGGTTTCGGTAATTTGCATTGTCTGGCAATGCTTTTTACTTTTATGTGTAATTCCTGTAACTCTTTTGTTGTAATTCGCAATGGGTTCTTAACTTCCAAGTCTTTGGGGCTTTTGGGGAGTACGCACATACATACGAGTATATGAACAGAGCAAAGTAGGCAAAGCAAATACCTACTTTAAAATAATATGGTTTTTAGCACAGAAGCTTGATGGTGTAACTATGATCAGTCATCCCTATTTACGTTTGTTATTAATGCCATTTTGATGACGACTGAATAAAATCCTCATTGAAAAGAGTTCGTCTTGCTTAAATGATTTACGAAATGGATTAGTATAAAAGTTCATAACTGATGATGAGATGATGAATATTTTTGGCTATCTGCAGTAGCCGCTACAGATCAAAACAATTTTGCACGGTTAACTATTCAGTAAGTATGATCGATCAATATATGGGATCATGACTCTTTTGATTTCGACTGCCAAACAAAATTTTTGAAGCAAAATTGCTCAGTCTAAGCTATTGAAAAATCTTTGAAAATATCGAAATTCGCAAAATTAACGACGCTCACATATTTGGGAATCATTTATCTTCCTTAACTATATTGACCTATTTGTAAACAATTACTTTGGGACAAGTCTCCTCAATATCGCTAAGGTCCTATCTGACGTAGTGTGTGAAAGATTAAAGCCCAGACTTTAGACCTGGTAAATCCACGATTGACCAGATATTCACATTGCGCCAAATCTTGGAAAAAACCTGAAGGTACGTGTGTCGAGTACCAATTTTCACAAAAATAAACCTGTTATATACATACATATGCATATACTGAGATATAAAACGTACATAATAGTATTTTTTTTTAGTAATATAATTATATTCTTCTCTTTTGTAATATAATATAAAAGATCTAAATATTCAATAAACTCAAAATATTGGGTGTATGCATTAATTCGAGTGGTTTTTTTTCGAAAATTAAGACCTTATTGTGGAAAAATAAATTTAATCGTCTGGAAGCGGTTGCTCAAGCGATCAACTCCTAATACTTTTGCAAGTTCTTCTTGGGTCTGCGTCGAGCAATGTCTCCAATCTTCGTCTTGAAATTTTTTTGGCTGTCCGTCGTCTAAATTGCCACTTTTGCCACTTTTAAACCGTGCAAACCACTTTTGGCACGTTCGTTCGGCTAAAGCATGGTCACCATAAACATCCAGTAAAATACGATGGCTTTCAGTAGCACGTTTCTTCATGTTAAAGCAATGAAGAAGAACTCCCCGCAAAAACACTTTATCTGGTACAAAAATCGACATTTTCAAATGAACGAAACAAATTGTTGTTCACGCTAAATCAAATGACATCAACAAATATCTCCGCCGTTACTAGAATAAAAATTTGTATTTTATAAGTTTTGTACATTCGAAGGGGTTTTAGTGCTACATTTTTAGTGAACATTTTTGTAACTGGTGTAATCACTGAGCAAAATTACATTATATTTTCTTATTTTCAGTATTTAATATGCCCGCCTTTCGCTTCAATCACCAGTTGCATCATTTTAGGCCTCTTGGACCACTAATCTTTCACTGCGTTCCGTAGCTCATCTACGGCTTGATGTGTCGAATAAGCGGCTACAATATTTTTTTAAGAACGATCCTTAAATTCTCAATTGGATTGAGATCAGGACTCTGGGCAGGCCAATCTAAACAAGAAATTCCGTTATCTTGCAGCCATTTTAATGTGATTTTAGCTTTGGATCATTAAGTTTCATAAAGATAGTATCTCCAGGTTCACACCCAAATATTTCGATGTTGGGAAGGTACGAGTCTCTTAATATGTCTGTGTAATTTTACGCCCTTATAATTCGAAAAGAACTAACTTTTTCCCTTGGAAACATCCCCAGATCATTAAGGATCCGCCACCAAACTTCAAGATCTTTTACCATACCATGACCTTTTGTGCTTGCGCGGCATTGTCTACATCTCCTGACATAACTAATATTTTGACCATTCTCCTAATGCAAGGACTCAACATGCTTGGACGTCTAACTTTGCGCTTAATTAGTGGAGTATCACAGTTTTTTTTAAGATTTTGGAGATAAATTCCATTGAAACTCCACATTTGTTTTCCATCTCTAAATTCAGCTTCAAGTGCAATACGTGTTACAGCACTAAGCACTCTTGATATTTTTATATATGGATGAAATGCCTCAACTGATTAATTAGCCAGAATAATTCCAAATTACCAAAGTAAGTTATTAATTATTGCCACCATTGACACTCGAAACTTAAACATTACAACTAAATATGCGGCTTTTATGAACGGGTTTGTAAGACAATGTATATGCTATTATTATATAATCCGATCTGGCTGGTTCCGACAAATGATGTGGTGTTTTTGTGTTGTAATATCTTCAAAACTAAGGGGTCAGCTTGGGTCATAATAGGCGGAGAGACAGACAGACGGACAAACGGTATAAATTTTGCTACGTCGTCTCCCCTTACCTCTCCTTATTAACATTAAAGACATTCAAAAGAAGAAGTTAATCGATAAATTTTACTGATATGTAAAAAAAAATTTGCAGTTATGCACATACATACGTGTATTCCACTTAATGTTCATGAAAGGCATAAAAAAGTCGAGATCAAATTGCTTTAGCTTCAGTCCCACTGATGGTTCAGGTCGGTTTTAAAACACTGTGCTTGTCGAGAATTTCAACAAACGGAGTACCCCTCAGGAATTCCTAAGACGAGTGCGCTGAAATCAATGACTTTGGCGTTTTTTAAAATTACCTTCCATTTTTAAAATATGCGGCATTCTACATTTTTTTTGGTCCATAAAAAACATTGCTCCAAATTCGAACATTTAATTAATTTTTCCAATAAAAATAAATTTGTTTAAAGTATTTTTCATTTTGTTTTATTTTCACACAGTTTCGGACAGAACAAGTCTCTTCTAATAAAGGTTTCACATTCCTTGTTGAATTAATTGGTTGGCTGTGCGCTGCCATTACTTGCCACCGCCACCACCGCCTCCGCCGCCACCACCATAACGTCCACCGCCACCGCCACCGCCGCCGCCGCCACCGGGTGCAGGTTCAGGATTGGGCAAAGGATTTGGATTGGCTGTAAATAATCAAATATAAATCTTTACAAATCGAGCTCACCAAATCAATTTTGTGCTCCATTTTGATACTCACCAACAGCAAAAGCCAATAAGGCCAATATAACGGCAAAGAATGCGTACAACTTCATCTTGACGACGATGTGAAGACAATGATTCCACTTTTTGTGGAATGGGCTTTTATATGCCAGAGATTTTAATGCCGTGTAAAAATCAAATAATAAATTTTTTTTTCGGGAAAACCTAAATAAAAGAACATTTTGTGGTGCAATGGCGTTTGTTATCACTTTCACGCGTGGGCATATGTGTATATGTACATACATATGTACTCGTGAATGTATCTTCCAGCACAATAATGTATTTCCCCAATCCCATTTGTGGGCCCGTCTACATTTCACATCAAATATATGTGTGTATGAATGTACGTGGAATTGTCACAATATTGTTATCACATTGGACATACGTACGCATAAAAAATATATTATGCATCGACATAAGTTTATTTCTTTTAATTTGTTATTGACTGAACGGACATGATATTTGATCGTCGCTCAAGTCTGAAAACCACAACAACCCAATATGATACACTTATAGTAAGTACATACATACATATGAATGTACGAAATCATGTACAGTAAATATAAATATTGGACTTTATAACTTCACATCTTTTTGAATAATATTTGTGAATATACTTATGTTTGGCTCTTTTAATATATGTGTATGTGTGTATATCTACAGTTTGGATGCATTTGCATATACGAGTATGTACAATGTATACACAAACAATATTTGGCTGGGTAAACCCATGGGTTTCTTTATAGCAAGGATGTCCTACAGTTGTTCTACTTGCTTGACGTTTTTACAACGCTCTTAGCCTTTTGTATGCTTCTTCTCAATTGGTTTGCGCGAGTTGGCAATAGCACGAATTTTTTTTTCAACGAAATAAGAGTTCTTCATGATCGATTTCCACTAGCGGACATTTCATCGAAGTATCCAACCGTTCATTCTTATTAATAGTATAAACTTGAGACTTTGATTGTCGAGAGAGGTTCTATATTTTTGAATTACCAGACCCATTGTCTTTGGTTTGTCTTTTGGAATCAAAGGCTCGGTGGTTGAGGCCAATGATATCGAGCTCGTCAGGGCGGGACAGCGTTTGTGGAAAATTGTTTCTTCTCTATTTAGCTTTGCCGTTCGCAAAATTTTCTTTACTTTTAAGTGAGTAAGCTCCGCTGCATTCTTTTAGTAGGGGTAGCTAAGAAAATTTCTTCTGGATCGGCTATAGAAAATTAAATTCCCATCTCCATTTATATTTTTATGTCAGCAGTCAGTTCGTGCCTGGCGAAAATTAGGTATGAATTGTAAGGAGATCACTTAATATTCTCTCCTTGAGAGGCACGCAGTCTTCTCTAAACCAAATTCACGCAGATTTCAAAACTCGACTTTTGCCCCCTTTTTCGGAAAGCAGCTCCCCAAAGACCGTCAGAAGAGGAAATTTAATTGTTTCTTTGCTTTGGGAGAAAATTACGATGATTTACGGGTCTGGTTGTGATCGAGGGAAAGATGAACTCCTGTCATCAATCAAACAGTCAGTCGCTGCTCCCACTTCACTGATGGCAGACATGACTTTGAAGTCGTAGATAATTTCGTTTCTGTTGGAACCAACGTTAACAACAACAACAATGTCAGCCTTGAAATCTTACGCAGAATCACTCTTGTGATGATATCGGTTTAGGAGTTTTCAGGAGAATTATGGTTCTGTAAGAGGTGGAAACGGCGAAACCCGCAGCCGTTGGAACTATGAGCTCTGACATACTTCAACGAATGAAGAAACAGCGGCTACGCTGGCTTGGGCATGTGCTCCTGATGGATAAAAGTACTCCAACTTTGAAAGTTTTCGATGCAGTGCGCGCCGATGGAAGCAGAGGAAGACCTCCACGCCTTTAGTAAGACCAGGTGGAGAGGGATCTGGCTGTACTCGTACTTGACATTTCCAATTGGCATCCAACAGCAAAGGGAAAAATGCTGTTCGTAAGACGACTACAATACTGTAAGCGGTGTCTAAGATAGTAAATGAGAAGAAGGAAATGAAACGAAAAGGAAAGATTTTGCGAATAAGTTCAAATCTGTTCGCTTAGTAGAATATTTAAAACGACAGTAAAGATGTCCTTTATTTCTCAACACCTCTTCTTAGATTCTCCCGCCTGATCATGGTATAATAGACATATTCATAGAAAAATATAAGAAACTAAATAAATAATTTAGTTGAACATGGTTTTTTATTAAACCTTTTATCCCCCTCGAAAAATAATGACGGTTGTCGATGGCTGAAACAATTACTGATTTTAAAAAAGCAAAAATTTCTTGTAGGGATGAAAACTTATAATTTCAACTTATGATTTAATTGAAGCCTAGATTTGCTGAGGTCAAAGATGAGCTTGATGTTGTGGATTAAATGCCAAAAACATTTCTTCTTCGGTGTTTCTGTACAATATGATGACGAACTTCAATGCAGAAAGCTTCGTACGATGTTGCGGACCTGTGACAGTCATATGTTAAATAATTATTTTTGATCACTCAGCGGAGGTAAGTGCTGCTGGACCTCAATTCACCGAGGCGGGTAGGCCTATCCGAGCATAATTATTTTTGAATTAAATTTGTCAATTGTCAAAATGAAATATTTTTCCGAAATGTACATAACATTAATTTGATAGGATCCAAACTGTGTGTTAGGCCAATGGTGTGGGATTCATATAGTTTTTAAGATTGATGGTGCAGGCTCTACACAGAAAGGGGTCTTTGTATGTTTGATCTCATTGTTATTTACGTTCGATTAAATTCAAGAGACCTGGCGACTCCTACGACAATTCCATAAGTATGAACTCATGTTTGGGTAAAGCCACTCTAAGGGTTAGAAAATTCATTATAGAAATATGGACAAAGGACTAGAATTTCTATTTAACCATTTCATTGAACATATGTGGAAGCATAAAAGAATATTGTTTAATTAGTATTTTGCTACAAAATGACGGGGATAAAGTCCATTATTAAATACATGTTTTTTGAAAAGCGCTCACGGGAGGACCGATTTCTTATGAAGAATGAGTCCTGGAACAGAAAAGCAAAAATGTTTATGATCTGCAGACTATGGTCTTTGAAAGTACGTACGAACTTATTCTTTTTAACTAATTTTTGTGAAAGCGGCGCATTTTAAAGAGATAGATTTTTGACTAAAGAATACGCACTAAATTATTGGACTTTGAAGAAAATGTTCTTGTGAAGCTACCATTAAAGTTTCAGATAGACCCTCTGTCCTTCCAGTTTGAAAAATGTGATTTTGAGAAAAAACGGGTTTAAAGTTTTCATTTTATTCAACGCTACTCTGAGAGACTGCAGCAAAATAAAAAGTTCAGCTATTTGAAATATTTTTTTTTTCACTTTAAAACAAATTGTAGATGATTTCTAGGACCCGAAACTACCCTGAGAGAAAAATAAAAAAATGCGTTTTTCAAAATCCTAGAGTGGCATTACCCCTAAAAAAATATAATTTAATTTAAACATAAATATAACATATGTCCTCAGTAGTAAGTATTCAAAAATATATATATCATTGGTACTTTATAGCCGATGAGGCAATTTTTGGGGCGAGCCACTCGGCTACTGCGGCGGTGTTAGATGATGTAAATTACAATATAATGTTCATATACTTACATACATATGCATATACATATTTACATACGTATGGATCTGTTTTAATAGAGTGAATAAAATCTTTTTAGGTTTTCAGTTCTATTTTATTGAATATATTTTTTCCTTAAATGTTTATCGCCCATATCCGCCCGGTAGACCTGGCGATCCTGGTGAACCATAACCACCGCCACCTCCTCCTCCACCCCCATTTCCGCCGGGTTGTCCAGGTTGACCAGGCCCCCCACCATTGCCACCGTAACCACCACCAGCGCCACCAGGACCACCATAACCGCCTCCGTAGTCATCATAACCACCAGCACCGCCACCGTATCCACCACCTCGTCCGCCTGCTCCACCAAAACCACCATATCCGGGTTGACCAGGTTGACCTGCACCACCACCATAACCGCCTGCTCCTCCACCATAACCGCCTGCTCCGCCTCCATATCCACCTCCACGGCCACCGGAGCCACCATAACCACCATATCCCGGTTGTCCAGGTTGTCCTGCACCACCCCCATTACCACCAGCGCCACCTCCACCGTAGCCACCGTAGCCTCCGGAGCCGCCAGCGCCACCATATCCATTACCACCAGGCTGACCGGGTTGACCATATGGTCCACCACCACCACCGCCACCTCCTGCCGGCGACCGTCTAGAACGTGGCGGTCCCACCGGACCTAAAACAGGTTCGTAAGCCACAACATCAGCGCCATTTGCATATATCACATCAAGCGCTGCAATTAAAATACAACATGAAGTAATTATAATTAATTATTGTGCAAAACAGTTCCCAGAAATATCTATGTACATAAATCTCAGTATTTCATTGTGCATTACCGTTCGCAATACAACAAAGAGCGACTAGCACCAGCGCCACCAGCGCAGCCGACGGATTTCGAATACTCCAGCGCCACATCTTCGACACGTTTCAGTAGAAAAGAGAAGCTCTGTGCTCAACTAAATACAAACGACGAGTAAACAGTGCGCGTTTCATGTAGATGTTTTATATATGGCGATATTTTTATTTATTTACCCTCCCCGCGCATCTAGCGCTAAGTGCTTCGGTACACACAAGCTTTCGGTTGTATTTTTTCAGAAAATTTTGTCGAATGGTCAGTGAAGCGTGCGAAATTGATTCCAGCGTATTAATTAAAAATGGATCAGGTTCTGCATGGATTTTTAATTATTTTCGTTATTTATTTACTTTTGTGCACAAAATTGCGATGCATCCCGTGTCTTTCACACGTCGCATGACCACACCTTAATGCATCACGTATGCACGAGCTCATATTTATAAACTCAAGTAATTTTGTATGTGCCCAGTAGGAAAAAGCCTTAGAATCATTTTAGATTTTTGTAATTCAAACAGTCGAATATAGACAATGCCTGCAATCTGCGCCTCCCTGATTCCCAGCAAACCACTCTGCATGAATTTGGTATGCCGCCCAGTCGCTCCGAACATTCGTGAGGATTCTAAAAAATATTATCATGAACAGCGTATGAACTGAAAAGTATTGCGTTTAATGAAGAACGCTTAACGCTTTAACTTTGGCCTCAAAATAAACCTCAGATTTAGTGATAACTTCTTAATTTCAGCAAAATTTTCCTGCCCATGGGCATTGATATCTGCGAAGACTGATATCTCAATCTAACGAACACGAAGTGGAGGTAATTCGAAGGTCTATTTATGTATGTTTATATTGTCTATATATAATTGGTGCCTTGTAAACCGCTGAAGCGATTTCCGGCCGAGCTCCTTCTCCAATTTGTGGTTTACAGTTTATACTAAGCCACCTCCGAACGGCTGAAGGGCTTTATATCATGTTAGAAGTACACTCGGAGTGGTTGACATTCCCTTTATGTATATAGGTTTGCAAAATTTTTGATTAATTTGGGACATGTTGCGTTGTGTTGAACAATGTTTTCAGCTATTTTTTAATTTCGGCATATTTGGTACATATTTCCGAAGTCTAGATAATCGCCAAGGCCAAGACCTTTACGGTAGATTACTGTGCTTTCTGGCACTTTGCTAAGAATCACCAGCTCGTTCACTTTTTTATAATAGTATATATAAGACCAACCAACCAACCACGTACATTTGATGTCTTTGCTATAACAGCTAACTCACGCAAGTTCGCTTACGATCATTCAAAACGATTTTTGCGATGCTTTTTTAGTGCATCGTCCACTGCGGACCACTTTCGAAGTCAATAAACTAATGTTGTATTGCTGTTGTGGATCGTATTATTTCTTCTTATATTTCGCTATTGTAAAGAGATCTAAAAATGTAGCTTGAGAAGCAACTTTTCACTTAATGTGAACGATAATTTTCACTTATTTTCGCTTGAAATTCCAGTTCGTTAAACGTCTAATTTGCCAGCCAATCTCCCAATTCATAATTTACAACCATCAGCCTTAATGTGCGTTGTTCATACATGATGATATCGTTCGAGACTTCCGTAATTTCTCTAATATATGGGCTCTCTAACTCTCATGCTTCTCTTAAGTTCGTTAACTTCAACCCATCTTTGAGAGTAACGCTCTTTTTTTTTGTCCATTCGAAATGAATACTCTCAAACCAATAAGTACAATTACGAGTATACAATTTGTGCTAGTCCAGCTTTGGGTATTCCTATACAGAGGATCTAACCTCTGAACTTTAACTCTTTTATTTAATCTTAATTCTTTGATTTTAATATGGGTTTGTATCCACAAAATTTTGTTTTGGATTTGTAACCACAAAATTAGATAAAAGTAAAAATTAATAAAATGGAACAGCTTTGATGGGTATTTAAATACGAAGTTAATGCTTTCAGTGATCGCGAAATTCGCTGATATTTTTTAACAGATGAATTAGATTTTTTTCAGCTCTATTGATTTTTCTAATGGAGTTATAAAACTATTGAGTAGAACGGTTTTGATGTCATCCTTAGTGTATATTGGATCATTCTGCAGTGCCTCAACAGAGTAAATTTTCATCTTCGGTAGGTAAATCTTCCGATTATGCTTGGAGCTCATTTTTCATCTGCTTATAATTCTGGACAACATTTATTTTAAGTGCACCACCTCTTATGGCCTAAGCTCAGTTCATTAGCTATGAAGCATTGTACGAGTATTATGGATCATGGATTTCTTCGTGGGATACTTTTTACTGATTTTTTATTTGCAAAAGTAAATAAAATTCTAAAATTTTAAATATAATTGGGACATTAATCAAAAATATAGAAAATCGGCTATAAACATGTCTAAAACTTAATTTTTTGCGCTTCACAAGTATGAAAGTTAAAAAGAAATGAATAAGTTCATTCATGCAAAACATAAAAATGTATTTCAATTAAGATATTGACAAAAAAAATTTGTTATTTATAGCAGTTGCTTGTAATTGCAATTACAATAGATATGTAGGTATGAATGTATGTATGTATTGGTGTGAGATTCATGACTCAATTTCCAATCATTTCTAGCCATTTAACGACTCCAACTTCAGGTCTTCCTCTATTTAGAATCACCGAAACCAAAACTTTATGAACTCTTACAGCCATTGAATTATTCTACTTTTCCAGCCAGTGTAGGACACACGTCTCCTCCTACGACTATATATCAATGCCCTCTTTATTTAAATAATCTGACTGGTTAGGAGTAGCAATAGAGAAAAAATTTAATAGAGAATCTATTGTGCTTTAGCATTATTTTTCAGACAATTCTTTCGTACGACCTGTAGAATGGTTATTCTCTCCTTCCAAGAGGCAAAATACGGTGATAAATGGAGGTGTTCGACATTGGATCGTACTGATCTTAACTGCTCTGCCGAGAGGTATGACACTTAAGTATTTTCAAGTATTGTCAAAGTTTACGGAAATTGTCATTTAAACAGCTCCCGCTTAAAAATTTTCCCCAGTGTTTTTGTTAATTGGTCCCACTGTCCTTAATTACTATGCCAAAAATGAGCGTGAGCTGTCAATCCGTTTGTTTGCAGCATCTTTTGAACTCAGTTCCCTCGGCGAATTTTTTTACGACCTCAATCGAGTCGAAACGGATTCCGCGGTGTGGTGACTTCAGTTTGGGAAACAAAAATAGTCGCATGTGATGTATTAATTCTTGGTAATGCCACTCATACGTTATGTCAGCGTTTTTCAAATAGTGGCATAAGCGGAACACTTAATATTCGATTAATCGGCACAAATAGATTGTTCGACTTATGAAAGCCGGTCTGAAAAAGCGTTTGAAAGGCGTTGAAAAATAAGAGAGATGCTAAGATGAACTGTTAAGAGGAAAATCAATTATTAATTTTCGTCGAAAATTTAATAAGGAATTTGAACAATTTTTGTGCGAATCGCGTACTGAAAATTATTTTTTTGAGTTTCATTGTTTTTTTTGTTATGGATTAGTAAAGGGTTATTAATATATAGAAACTTAAATTAACCTTTCAAAGGCCTGCCCTCTTGATGTATTATCCTATTCTTAACATACACCGAATTCACCCAAAGTATGCAGTATGTTCGGGTTATCATGGAGATGGCTTATAAGAAGCTTGTCCGAGTACTGAATAGTCCCACACGAACTAAAATTTAATGCAAATACGGATGCCGAAAATTAAAAAAAAAACGAGATTTGTGGGAATGCTTATGAAGGTTTTCGTATGTATTGGTAGTGTTAGCAAGAGATTTTAGACAGGGAATTTAAAGGAATTATTGAAAGTGCAATAAATGAAATTCCAGGATTCTTCACTTTTTCAATATCTGTTTTGGTGTAGCGAAATACATCTGGACACCACTAAATATTTTCTTTGATAATTCACCAGATCTGTTTTCTTGTATGAGATAGTATTGTAGAACCCTTTCCCTAATATCTTTTTTAGTACAAATTAAATTCAGTATTCTGTGGATATGTAACAGAGATACAGAAGTTGAGCCTATATTGACTCTCGACCTGTATAAACTTATATTGAGCTTATTTTGCTCATCCAGCATCTTCATACAAATCTCTTATGTACAATAATTTACATCTTGCTTAATTTTACTTATTTTAAATTATGTTTAGAAATGTACTAAATTTCCTATCTCAAAATACAAATTTTCTAATTGCACACAAACCACCGTTCAACCGTTATGAATCTGATATTGAGGTATAATTTAAATAATTTAATAAAATACATATTAAACTAAGAAAAATTGTGTGGACAAAGTGCGATGGGTTCAGACACTGTTATTTATAGCATAACACGTTTTATGCTAGGAATTCCCCAGCAGCATTTCATGAGCAACCAAGAACATTGGTGTTTGCTTAACTTTATGTACGGACGCCACTATTAACCTGAGCTAATATAGTAACAAAAATTATGAATTTATTTATGCACATTTGCCATTCAATTTTACCTCTTTGCATGTAAATTCAATATGTACTCTGAGCAGCTTCGCAAATAATCTTGGTAATCACATTACAGGTGATATAAAAGTACAAATATTATGATAATTTATTTTTATTTTTTTGATTTTCGCAGGTAGATAGTATTTTCTATGCATCTTGGGTGAATTAGTTGTTTTTGTTGTTGTAGCGGTATTCAGAATTTGAATGGATACAATCCGGGTCAAATCCTTGCGCAGAACCGGCTGTCGTGAGAGTTGGACTGTCACGGTTGGAACTCTTTAAATTTATTGTCAAAATTTGTCATCTGCGCGCTGGAGGAAGAGGAAGAGCTCCACGCGTTGGAAAGACCAGGTGTTAACTCGGTTCATATTTGCTTAAGCGGTGTCTGCTCCAAATAAAAAAGGAGAAGAAGGAAAATAAACCTTGCCAGTTTCTCGCAAACACATTCAAGTCAAAAACGCATAAATGTGTGTGTGTGTGTGTTTTTTAAGTTTTCAATGAGGTAAATCACTATATTTTGCTTACAAAGCTTAACAGCCTGGATTTCCACAAGGTCAGAATTTGAGTACTGGTGTACCCAACCATTCAAATATATAGAAATTTTCCTAATTGAGGTCGCCCTCTGCTGGGGACCACAAGCACTCCGAGTGTATTTCTAAAATGAAAATTTGTTGGAGAAACCGGAGGAGATAATGGACCGAAAATAGTTTCAGTGGTTAAAAACTCCCAATTATATATTTACATATGTTTGTATTTGAGCTGTTGGATTCTGGATTCGTATTTAAAATCCACTTTTTTTCGATATCCAAAGTGTGCTCTGTGATGGCCTTTATGCATTTCAGCTCACATTTTTCCGATCCGTATATCCTAAAGCCACTCTATATTCGTGTGGTTTACGCAAAATTAAGACTACGCAGCCACCATCTGGACCCCTTAAATGCATTACATATCACCATTTTGTTCGTTTTAAACTTCTTTCTCTTGTAAATATTGAGGCTTTCAATTTGAGGTAAATCAATCTCGTATTTTCGGTTTTGCAATTTAGCGCGATGTCATAGACTATCCGCATTATTTTCCAGAACAACTAAACAAATCTCCTGAAGAAGTTTGCACAGAAAAGTTACCTTGAAAATGTAATGATATTGATATAGATAATTTTGTAATTACTGTACCACACTTTTAGACCCAATAAAAAGGTCAATCAATTACCCGATGCTCGTTGAACTGAACAGTTCGTAAAATCATAGGAATCCCGCTTATTTGGAAAACCGAATCACACAATTCAAATAGACAGTCTTTTTTATTTATGATGATGATGATTTTATCCTATTGGTTATTAGTGTTCTTCCAGGTATATTAATTATAGATAAAGATATTCTTAAACCTTTCGATGAACGTTTTTGAAAAGTCCTTAACATCAACTAATTGAAACAAAGCAAGCAACCCATCCGTCCGTCTCCGGTAAAGACTCTTTACTCTTTAGTGCTTACCAGTGCATGTATTTGGAGTAGTAAAAAGAAATCCATTATTTTTCCAATAGATGTCGTTATTTATCTGTATCTCGCGTTGTAGAAGTCCGATCGGGTTCCGCTGGTTGGCGTTAGAAAGATAACATTTTGAGCTTAAAATGGTTTTTTTAACAGTTTTGTGATTGGTTGATACAGTACACTACGTACGTATACAACGCGAGATACAGGTAAACAAAGTCATTTATTGGAAAAATAATGCATTTCTTTTTACTACACCTAATATGTAACTCTAATAACCTCATTAACTTCCCATTAAAACTGAATGCGAAATGCTAATGATCACTTTGAATTGAAACGCAAATATAATAGCCAGTCATAAATCATTCTGAAATGATTCATAATTAGTTCGAGTATAAATGCCTGTGAACTAATTTTGTGGATTATTTACGAAAATGAAGACACTTCTATTACTTGCAACTTTGCTAGCGCTTGTATTCTTGTGCCAAGCTCAATTTGGCATCAGACCAAATCGTCCTTTCGGTGGATTTGGCGCTTTCGGGCGTCCCGGCGGTAACAGTGGATTTGGACAATTTGGTGGTGGTGCTGGAGGTTTTGGTCAGAACGGACCATTTGGTGGAATACCGGGAAATGGTGGCTTTAACCCATTCCTTCCTGGTGTCAACTTTGGTGGTGGTGCTGGTGGTGGTTTTGGTCCATTTAATCCTGGAGGTTTTGGAAGTGGTGGTTTTGGAGCATTTGGACGTGGTGGTGGCGGAAGTGCTGGAGCCGGCGGCGCACCGGGACAACCTGGTCAGAATAATGGTGGTGGAATATTGGGCGGCGGTGCAGGTGGCGGGACTGGCCAAGGAAATAATGAATAACTTGGCAGTTAAGAACGATAGTCAGTTTGACATTCACTAGAAAATTATTTTATAAATCCGGAAAAAATTTTACGAGCGAGTGTATGGATGGTATGGTATAGATAAGTACGTATGTTTGTATTTAGAAGTATTTTTTAGACAGTAAAAAAGTTATGTAAGAGTTTTAAATTTTTCTGTTCAATTTTAAACAATAAAAACATCAAGTCCACATATTTGTGACGTCTCGATCATATTTTTTACTTTAGGTCACACTTAGATTAGTGATCTTGGAAATTTCCTTTAAGCAACAGAACTTATTTTGGGCATATTTTGCGGAGAAATGATCAGAGCGCATTTGAGACCGATACCTTATTCTTCTTCTTCTTTGGCGTATGCACCGTTTTTCTCCCGAAGACACGGTTGGAAAAGGTTCTTCCCAAAGTAATTGGCGTCCTTGTCACCTCTTCACCGCCATGTTCTAATAGTTCTGCCGGTTGGTCGTCAGATCCAGTCGCTTTGTTGTTTCTTCAGCGGGCGTTTGCTATTCGAAGAATAGGGGTTTCGGGTTTACCATCTCCGGATTCTCCAATTTCACTGCTATCCAGCAGGTTGGAGAAGTTTTTCCTCCATAAGATCAATATACTCTGGGCATCGGTGGCTACAAGAGCCTGTTGTGTTCTTTAAACTTTCCGTAAGTCATCGTATCTTCTCATAGAATTACTCTTATCGGCCAGCCTCTCATGCTCTTCGTATTCACGCATCTCGGCCACTTTCTTTTTTTGTCTATAGATGCATCTTGCTTCCCTCTTCATCTCTCGGTATCTATCATATGCTGCACTTGTTGTGGTCGGAAGCACTTTAAATGCCGTCCCACAGGACCCATATACCGAGCTCTTGATGAGTGCTCTCAGAGAGCAGGAGTGCAAGTCGAGTAGAAAAACGTTCGGTCGTTCGGCAGTCTATTGTGATTGCAGCTTCTCAATGTCGAACTCTCCTTATGTTTGTTGACATGCGTTTTCGATACACAGAGGCGAATGCGTATCTTCGCTGCAACAAAATAGTGGATTCTCGGAGTGGGTGCAAATCAGCAATATATTGAAAAATTTCGCTTTGATGCGGATCGTGGCGAGACGCTCATTCACCGGGGTGAATACCAGTACTCGACGACGAAGTCTCTCTCCCACCACAAATCCAACACCAAATTTGCGCTCCTTTATATGGCCGCTGTAGTAAGTGTCACAAGAACTTACTCGCTTTCGTCCTTTTCCCGTCCATCGCACTTCTTGGACGACAGTGATGTCAGCTTTTATTCTTACGAGGACATCAACCAGCTGGGCAGCGGCACCTTCCCAATTAAGGAACCGGACATTCCAGGTGCATTCTCACAAATCGTGGTCCCTAATTCGTTTGCGGGCGTTGTTAAGTTTTTCATTGGAGCTGGTTTCTACGTGGCAAGTCCCAAACCCAGCGCACAACCTTCTAGGTCAGAATGTTCAAAATTTGTTACACATTTATATAGCGAGTCGCTGCAATTAGACTTCAGCAGACTTTTAAACCAAATAAGCCGGAGTGGCTCCACTGAAGCTTCCTCTCTCATTAGCAGTGACCAAATTCTCCACACGGGCTGGCTACCGCATCTTGCACAAGGGTTGCTCACGTTTCAGGGTGTGCGACGTGAACGCAATAGTAGGAATTGAGTATAGCATTGTAACTGTAACAGCATACCCATACCTCGTTACACGATTAGTGACTTGAGTTTTAGTTTGCCTAACAGGACTTATTTTGGGCATATTTTGCGAATAAAACTTCTTTCATAATCAACATCGGTTACTGCGGAGTTCCACAAACTCCCAATGATCAGACCGCATTTGAGATCAACCCCTAATTCTTCTTCTTCTTCTCTGACGTATGCACCGCTTTTCTCTCGAAGACACCTAACGCCGGTTCGTCGGTGTCGACACCGTGAAAACCTCTGCACCGCATAGTACATGATAGTAGCAGTACTTGAATGACAACCAGCGACTCATAGAGGTTACGTTTTTCTCCATATATAATTCTGCAGCTTATCCAATAACGAGCCACCCGGTCTGAAACCTCGTTTGGTACCAAATGTCTCGTAGAGGTCTTTCTCTTCTGACTGCGGTTCTTATATTGTCCAGCATCAGTTTACACAGTTCCAAAATCTGGTACTGCGTACAACCATCTAGTGCACCAACAAAGAAAAATAATGAGAAGGTAATAACAGCCCTTGCTAATTTCTATTTAGTCCAATACACTGATGGCAGCCAGTTTAGCTGGGGATATATTCCCGTCAGGATAATTATTCTCCCACCTGAACATCGTGGAACCAACGAAGGGATACTGTCGGGTTAAGTCAAGATCCACGAAATTTTTAATTATCCTTAACCTGTTACTCTGGTTACTAGCTATAGTATAAGATATAAGACTCCAGGGGTGCTACACGAGCTTACCATTTAGTGTTAATAAGATTCAAGTTTTTCGGACTCTAGCGCTTTATTTCCGAATTCAAACATTAATTACAAACATACGTACGTACAAACAATAAAAAAGGAATACTTAACCAAAGGAGTAACCATAACCACCACCGGCGCCATTTTCATCACCACCACCACCGCCAGCACCCATAACACCGCCTACGGTAAATGGGCCACCATAACCATTACCACTGCTGCCGCCGCCACTACCAGCAGGTCCATAGTAACCGAAACCACCATTTCCGCCTGATCCGCCATAAGGTCCATTCGGACCATAGCCACCGTAACCATAGCCGCCAGTACCACCGCCACCGCCTCCTCCGCCTCCTCCGCCGCCATACTGCGCTGGACACAGTAAGAAGCAAGCGAGAAAGATGTTTAGGCACAGTAAAAACTTCATTATGTTAATTTCCGCAACTATTTCGCTGAAAGAACACTTTCACACACCGCAACTGCAATAATCTGTAAGTCAACTGAAAAGTTGTTTTGAAAAATTTTCAATAATAGAATTTTATTTGTGCGACGTGCTGTGGAGCTAATCTCTGTAGTTTCAGTGTAAAATGTTTACGAAATTCGCGTTAGACAAAAATTAACCTCATCTAAATTCAAATATGCATACCTTTGTGCATTGAATATATATACATACATACATATGCAAGTAAATATATGTACACATATACATGCCTATATACGTGTATACCATTGAATTTAGCTCAAAACAGCAATTGATTTTACACTCGTACATTAAATGCTTGTTTTTCTCTCATTAATTAAATAATTTTGCGAAACTAATGCGGTAAAATTAGCGATTAAATATTTAGATAGGAAAAAAGTTGCATGAATCCGCATTCGCATTTGAAGTGTTTATTAGTAATACATCGTAGGGCTGAAGCAATGAATTATTTAATAAGACACGTTCAGACCTCCACTAGGAATTTAAGCCTTTTTTACTGTTCATATGTGCTTATGCGCATACATATATATAATATATATATATAAAAGTACATTTAATATTAATCTTGATGCTTTCTAGTCAATAAATAAATCAATAGAAATAAAGGAAGGAAAGAATTGAAAAGCTTAGGTTAGATGGATGGATGGTTAATTCCAAGAGTATCCCAGATAGACACAGAAGGCACGTTCCTTGTCATGCCACAAAATGTGAAAATATACTGAACGCTACATCAGTCTTCATTTAATGAGTTGCTTAGTGTATGCCACAAATCGGCCTAAAGTTAAAGACTGTTAGCTCCTTCGATTTTGTAAACGTATGCAATAAGAGCATTTTTAGTCTTAGCCACGCAAGCACAAGACTCTTAACCACCACAGCTTGAATTCTATAATATGCGAAACCTTAGCGCGTGGACTTCTGTCGGATAATGCCGGGTGTGAACTTTCAATGTATGCGAGAGTTTTAATTTTGGGCTCACCTTCTACAGTTTACCTTAGGCCAAACGATCTTGTAGCCACGCGTGTGGAGGTACTAGCCCTGCACTCGCTGAGTTGGTTCAAGACGAACCTATCAACAATACGGTTGAAACCCGCTACCCATTTGATTTTAATTATGAAGAGAGTTGACGTTACAAACAGCGAATCCATTTTGAAACTCATCATTAGTGAAGCCAATGCGAGTAATTATTGGTCTGTCTCACCACCAAGCCACCGTCAAAAAGGATGCATTCACCATTTCCTTGATAGCAGCAAGCACTGCTTGAAAATGCTACAATGATCTGGATGCATGAATGAATAATTTTTAAGAAAAGACTACATCGGCGATCTTTCGCGTCAAACCATCCGTAAAACAACTGAGTGCTACATTTCCCAATCCTGTTCCGCAGCTCGAGGATATAGTTACGTAAATCCGTTGGCCAATGGTGGCCCTTCTTTTCATTGTTCGTCGATATTTCCTTTCCAGGACTGTCTTCAAGTATTTCGCTTTCTAGGGTAAATGAATACAAACAAAATACAAACGTCCCTTATTGAGTAAGAAGCCACTTTCGAGATCTATATTTCCTTTGGCCCGTCCACCTTGGGTTACGAAAATCTCTTTGACTTTTCTCAACGCCTTCGTGATTATTATTACCCAGTATTTCAAATTTTTTTTTTGTTTCGTTCTGAAACATAGCAAAATTAAATATAGCCGATTTGAACGAAATTGCAGTGTTACAATATTTTCACTCTTTTATGAGGTTTAAATTCATGTATTGCACTGTAAGGAGCAGCAGAACTCATCTTGAACAATTCGTTTTTTGCTTTTTAAAATAACTAAATTTATATGTTAAATGAATGCCAATCTCAACCAAAAATTATCCAAATTGTATTGTAGTTCTTTATAAAAGAATGGAAATAATTTGGCAACCCCAAGGGGGTTCGACATCTATGACACTAAATTAATTTTTTCAAAATTGTATGATTATCCCGCTTAAAAAATATGCAACTTGGAAATTTTGGAGTCATTTTTAGTGTTGGGGTTATCATCTAAGCTGTAATATTTAATTCATGTATGGATGTATTGAAAAATCTGTCTCAAGCAAGGCTGTTCCGTAACGATAAATTTTCAAAATGAATTTTAATTCGTTTTTACCTGAAACTAAAAGCTATCGTTAACAGTACGCTTTTCGTAGATAATATTGGATGAGTGCATAAGTTCGTGCCCGATTTCAAGTGCAAACTAAAATTGAAATTTTTTGAAGAAAGCGCTTTTATTAATCAATTATGTATTCGTCATCATGTTCGGCAATCCACTCTTAACGTTCAACCAATTTACGGATGCCTGATTCATAGAAATCGCGCGGTTTATCGTTGAAAAAAGGGTTAAGGTGGTTTTTGACGTCTTCCACATTTTCAAATTTTTTTCCATTCAAATTATATACCTATTATATTAAACCTTAAAATAGAAGTGGGCAGTTAATTCTGGGCAAGCATTCGTTTTAAAATTAACTTTATTCGTGGATTTTCGCGCTTTCAATTTTAACAATTTCATTTCGTGTCGATAACAGTAGCCGACACGAAACCGAATTATTTCGTTGAGTTTATTTTCCATTTTAACAGAACGAAATAGCTTCGATTCGTTAAGTGAGCATGCCTGGATTCAAGCGTTTTTCTTAGACGGCAGACCGCAATTTTAAAACAAAAAGATATTGAAATAATATCATCTGCACTTACAAAATTTCGATGAAATATCTTCAAAACTGATAGGTAAATGCATCAAAGTGCAGATTTAGTAAAATCGACTCAGCTCCTCATCTGTTGTGAGGCTCCTCATCTGTTGTAAGGTTAATACCCGATGAAGTACACGTACAGTATCACGGGTTGCGAAATATAATATGGTGCAGGAATTTCTGACTTATTTTTAATGTTAAATCACATTTAAAGAATATTGAAATATTACATATGGATGTATATTTTGATTTAGTCTTACACGTTTAACACGAGATAGCTATGAGTCGGCTGTGAAGAGAGAATGAAACTACAATAACTGTAAATTATTGTTTCTTGATTCTCAACAAGATATGTTTAATAAATATTTACTTATATTATGAAAACAAGTGACAACTCTTGATGTCTAAATTAAGAATTTTAATAAAATATGGTCTTATTCCGTTATTTTTTTGACTAAATCTAGTAAGATTCCCAAAATGTTAGAACGAGAGTGAGCTTTGAAAGTGTAAAGAGCGCTTTCGCAATAAATATTCTAACTAAAGCAATAAGAAACTTCAACATTTTATTTAGTAAATACATAAAAAGTACCGAAAACGTAGAAACGAACTGTGGGCCTGAAATAAGAAAAACTAACGAAGTTTATTTTTTCAATCTTTTTGAAATTTGATAAAATTTTAATTACAATGCCCACGACTTTGCCCGCATGGAATTTTATTTCATTAAAATCCACATTCTCCGCAAATTAGCTTAGGTAAAGAGCTTTGTATTTTCCAAATTTAATGTAATTTAAACCAGATATATGATTCTGTCAGATGAAGTGATGCCGTTAAAAACAAATTTGTCCTTGCCTTGACATGAAAACAACCATTTTTATTCCACACATGAGTACTAAGCAAAACCGAATGAACGAATCGAATCGATTCCAGGTCCACTGCCCGGAAAAGGCTTTCACCATATGAATTTAGGCTCAACGCTTTGTCGGGACCAGATTTATGTGCGAATAAAACAAACGATAAATAACAATTTTTCGAACAGATCAGTCTCAACTCCACTTCCCGGAGGAAAAATTGTTTCCCATGTCAATTTAGGCAAAGAACTATCTATGTACCGAAATTCATGAAATTCAAACGATTTAAAATTAATCTAAATTTTATCGAGTAGGTCGGTCCCAGGTCTATATTCTGAAAAATCCTATCTATCGAATGCCTACGTCATACGCGGAATGCACCGGCCAAGTTTCAGATCTCTACGACCAATAGTCTAGGCTGGGGCATGATCGGGCGGGTCAAATCCCTTTATATATATAAATCAAAACTCACAGTTTTCAGTAATCTCAAGTGTGTAAATAATTGAAAAATAGTTTTGCGTAAAAATTTTGTCAACAATTTTATTTAAATATATTTGTTTAAAATTCACACAAAATTACATTCCACCCTAAAATAGTTATGATCGAGTTTCGCCGATAAAAGACAATAAAAGTTATAATCGCGCTGAATAAATATCAATTACAATATTTTAATTGCCGGAAAACACGAAGCACATCCACCGTTCACTGGTGTACGATTGCTATTTTTTTTTTCAAAAAGTTCCGATTTTTTATTAAAAAAAAAAAATTGCTTAAAGCTTGAGGACTACTTTCTAGATTTTGGAATATGCACAGTTTTAATGGAACTAAAAATAATTATGCTCAATATTTTATTTATTTTGCATTCATTTCACTTGCCACGTCACGGTAAAATCATATCAAAGACTTTACAGAAAAACTGGATAAGATGGCTGCGGCGATAGCCGAGTGGTTGTCTTAGTTCGAGTCAATTTAGAACACTTTTCAAAACTATGGCGATCTCATTAGCAGCCGGAAATATCTCTCCGTCGAAGTCTAGAAATTCTGGATGATTTGCACGAAGCGTTAGCCCAAGGATTGAGCTGAGTTTTACTGCTTTTATAATTGCATTGTACTTTTTCTTTTGGCGATAACTGAGAGTTCTCATGAAGCAGCCTATACTTTGCTACTTTTAATATCATACATATTATTTTGGCATTCATTTTTTCCAAGTGAGGCTTCTATCTATGTGTATGTGTATGACGAGATGTTTGCATAGTTCGGAAATAATTATACCATTTATGTTACTAATCGTTTTCGATGATTTTCTAGGGCATTTACACTTTTGGGTTTCCTAAGATGTCAGCAGTGTTTATAATGTACAACATAAGCCTGAGGGTCATGTCTTGAGGAACATAAGCTTTTCTGGAGACTCCTTAGCGATACGCTCCAATTGTATTACGATAAGCTCTAGCTTCTGTTGGCAAAAGTGATTCTGCGCTGGATTTGAAGGCTGACATTTTTCTGGTGTTTATGTTGGTTCCTAGGTAGACGAAATTATCTACGACTACAAAGTTATGACTGTCAACAGTGACATGGGAGCCAAGTCGCGAATGCGATGACTGTTTGTTTGATGAAAGGAGATATTTCGTCTTGTCATCGTTCCCTACCAGACCCATTCGCCTCGCTTTTTTGTCAAGCCTGGAGAAAGCAGAACTAACGGCGCGGTTGTTGGGGCCGATAATGTCAATATCATCGGCATACACCCGCAGCTGTACCTTCTTATAGAAGATTGTACCTACTCTATGCAGCTCTGCAGCTCTTATTATTCTCTCCAGCATCGAATTGAAGAAATTCTATGGCAAAGAGTCACACTGTCTGAAACCTCGTTTGGTATCGAACGGCTTGGAGAGATCATTCCCAATTCTGACTGCGCTTCTGGTGTTGTCTAGCGTCAATTTACAGAGCCGTATAAGTTTTGCGGGGATACCAAATTCAGAAATAACGGCGTAAAAGCAGCTCATATTCGTGATGTCGAAGGCGGCTTTAAAATCGACGAAGGGGTGGTGGGAGTCGATCCTCTTTTCAAACGTCCTTTCCAAGTTTTGGCGCATCGTTAATATCTGGTCAATGATTGACTTAGCTGGTCTTAAGTCACACTGATATGATCCAATCAGTTTGCTGACGGTGGACTTTAGTATTTAAAGATCTTATATGCGATGTTAAGGAGGCTTATACCACGCTAACCCGCTGTGGGATCGCCCTGCCTGTGGATGGGGCAAAGCACACTTAGGTTCCAATCGTAGGGCATGCTTTCCACAGGCCATATTTTGCAAGTCGCTGATGCAAGCACCTTGTCAGCTCTTCACCACCATGTTTGAATAATTCTGCGGGTAGGCCGTCAGCTCCAGTCGCTTTGTTGCTTTGTAAGAGGGCGATTGCTATTCGAACTTCTTCATGTTCGAGTAATGCAACGCCTTTTCCATCGTCTCTTAGAATTTTCGAGCATTAACGTTGTCGGCCAGCTTCTCGAGCTCTTCATACTCACGCACATCGGTCGCTTTCTTTTTTCGTCTGAAGATGCGTCTTGCTTCCCTCTTCAGCTATCGGTATCTGTCCCTTCCCGCACGTGTTGCGTTCAATCGCAAGGCGGGAGGTGGGCAGTCTGTTTTCTCTCCACTGCAAGTCGGCAGTCCTCATCGTATTAGCTGTTTTTGCGACCTTTCCGAAATCCAATAGTTTCGTTTATAGCTATACGTAATGAACTTTAAATGCCGTCCCACAGGTCCGGTATACCGAGTTCCTGATGAGAGCAGGAGTGCAAGTCGAGTAGAAAATCTTTCGAGAGTCTGTTGTGATTGCAGCTTTTCGACGCCAACTTTCCTTTTGTTTGTCGACGATTTATCTAGAAATAAAGTATCAACTTGGCAAGTCTGATAGTTTTTTCGTTACTTGGTTGCGTTCAAATCAGATTTTTATTTTGGTTCCCGTTCACAAAAGTTTATTTGCTTTATTGAATAATTTTATTAACAATTTTGGAAAAAAACTGAAATAGAGCGTGAAATCTGCCTTATTGCTCTATTCGACTAGAGAAGGATCCCTTCAAAAAACCGGTATGGAGACTTCCAAATATTTGCGCTGCGTGGACTAAATAAAGATGCGGAGAACTGTTTTGTGTCCATTCCAAAATTCATGCAGATTTTCGCGAAATATGGAACATAGTAATTGGCTAAAAAGACAAGTAAGCAACACCTCGTTACCCATGGCAGCTTTCAAAATTCAGCAAAATGAAAAAAGTCACGAATATTTCTTCACAAACTTTATTTAATCTCAGATGAAATTAACAACAGATACATACATAAACTTTTAAAATCTTACAAACAATTTCTTTTATAGCCATGTTTATACTTGCGTATATATATGTATGTACATATGTATGTTCACGTACTGAAAATAAAATGCGCAATTCTCTTGTTACACTGAGTGCACAGCGTATGTATGTATATACACGTATGTATTCATATGTTTGTACGAGTTGTACACCAATTAGCGTTTTGTAGTCTTAAACAATGAAGTCATGTGTCGCCGCAATCCACACGCTCGTTCGCTCAATCGCACACAACGCCGGCGCCGTCAGAAATGACTGTCAGCCGAATTTTTATGACAAATGCAAATAAATTGAACACATCTGAAACGCATAAAACCACATTGTGGAGTTGTGGCTACGAACACGATCAGGGCGGAGCACGATAAGAGGCGTGATGTCATCGTGTGAAGGCGGCCGGGCGGCCCGTGTGATATTCCGAAAAATGCAATAAGAGTAGACCTCATAAGTTTTACAGTGCAATTAAATATAACTTTTATTTTTATTTAATTTTTTTAACCTACATTCACGTATACATATACATATACACGTGTACGTGTTTTAATTTTAGGTACAATTTTAACTTGGAAATTAAAAACTAGTGCGTTCAGTGAGGATATCGAGGAATAGAAATGTTTGAAAATGGGTTACAAAAACTCTTTCACATGAATTACAACTAACAATTATAGATAGTCTCTAAACTACATAACGAAAGTTATTGAAAAACATTTCATGCTTTTCCTTTCATTTTATAAAACTTTCAAAAACACTGTTAGCGGCAACAAAAGCCACAGCCAATGCAATTGTCTGCCCACAGCATTAGCTGCCGATCGGTAACGCGGATCGTAGTAATTGGGATAGTTGCCAGGGCCAACTGGCGCTCCAGGCGCAACGGGATAGCCGCCTGGTGCACCTGGCATGCCCGGCATACCGCCAGCCCCGCCGCTATATGAAAACCGTCTGCCTTGATCGTCTACACCGCCAACATAGTAACCACCGTTGCCACCGGCGCCACCGTAAGCATGTCCACGGCTATCTATGCCTGCGTAGCCGAAACCAAAGTCACTGTTACCCGGCGCACCGGGCGCTCCAGGTTGACCTGGCGCACCACCCCAGCCACCAGCACCACCATTGCCACCTTGCGCTGCAATAAAAAGTTGAAACGAAATAGATTCGTTATTAATTGTTTTTGTTGCCTTCACAGTTTCCAAGAATTTTGTAAATAGTAAACATATGTATGCACAGATATTTATTATTCCATTTTTTATTAGCAATGCAAATGTGCAGTCTGTGGAGGGGTGCAGCGTCAGTAGCGATAGATTATCCGCTACACCGTCTCTAATTCAGGCAAATAAACGGTTTTTAGATTTCAAGTAAACAACACTTTTCCATTTAAATACATATAATTTTAACTCGTTTTTCAATTTTTTCGTTTGTTTGTATGTTTGTACATTTCCAAGTATTTACGATTTACGTTTAATTCACCTGTGCAAAGTAAAACGCAATTCAATGCCAGCAAAATCACGCCTGCCTGTCTGAGCTGTGGTAAACTTGGCTTCATCTTCCCGCTAACACTGACACTAGTCGACTAAACAATTCTCGCTCTGGGCCAGGCTATTTTTGCTTTAATTTTTCAATTCACTGGGCATCAGTCACTCAACGCCGTTCAGGTGACTCAGTTCGAAACTGCTCTAACCTCTCATTTTTCCCAAAGTTCACTTACATATTTTGTTGCTAAAAAATTAAGTTATTTACTTTTAGTCGATAAATACATACACACATACATACCTAGCATGTCTGATTAGTAATTTTCTTGATCTTATTATAATATAGTACACACACACACGTACATAGTATATATACATATACCTTTATATACATTTAAATAGCATACACGTGCATAGCTTGGAATTATATACAATTTCCTTTGCCAATTTACATATTAAGGCAATTACATGCTAACAAATATATACTATACTCGTAAATTATACATACATACCGCACATCAATTATATAGTATTTTCTTATGTACTTACACATACATACACAAATGTATAAGCAAAAATTTACATATTTGCATATATTAGCATATCTTTAAAGTTTTTTCCAATGATTCAGACAAAACATATTGTACTTTCACACTTTCCGCATTTGAAAATCAAACACACCTTTCAGCGAAAAAATAGCAAAACGTTGTTAATAATAACTACAGTAAAACCCGCCTAATCGAGTCAGCCTGTTTACTCTGCGCGAAACCCGCCATTTTTCTGGAAGGAGCAATAAATTACTTGAACCATAATTCATTCGTATATATCTTATACAGGGCGGCCGCTATAGCCGAGTGGTACAAGCAGGGCATACCATCAAGCGGGTGTTCATGGTTCGAGTTCTAGTGCTATCAACAACCGGAGGGGGGTTTAGAATGAATACAGGTCACGCACACCACAAATATGTTGGAGGAAACAAACGCCTCGAGGAGCTGCAATAGCTGCCGTCAGTTGATTGATTTACTGATGGATGACCATTTAAGGGCTATAGGAAAGTTTTTCAAAAAAAAAAAAAAACACATCAAATTGAAATCTTTATATGAACCGATAGTACGGTCCCCATGATTTAATGTTTGAAGATTATTTTATACAAATGTTGACCGTGAATACGCCTCAAATGGTCCATGAGCTTAGCTCAATTTTGGAGTACTCTTTCCAACATTTCGGCCACCATCTCACGAACAAATGCCTCAATGTTGTCCTCCAATGCGTCAATTGAAGTGAACTTGTCTGTATAGACATTTGATTTTACATAGCCGCACAAAAAATAGTCTAAAGGCGTTAAATCGCACGATCTGGGCGGCCAATTGACCGGTCTCGAGTGTGAAATAAACCCAAACCGCCTTTCGATAAGTCCACTGTTACGCGTGCTGTGTGGTATGTGGCACCGTCTTGTTGAAACCACATTTCATGCGAGTCAAGTTCTTGCATTTTGGGCAAAGAAAAGTTTAATATAATCTCACGGTAGCGCTAACCATTCACAGTTCCGTTACGAATCGCATCATCTTTGAAGAAGTATGGTCCAATGATGCCACCAATCCATAAACCGCACCAAGCTGTGACTTTTTCTGGATGCATTGGTAGCTCTTGCAATGCTTTTGGCTTATCTTAACTCCAAAATCGACTATTCTGCTTCTTGACGCATCCATTAAGCCAAAAATGAGCTTCTAAGCGCACGATGAACTTCCTTAACAGAGCACGCATTTTGCTAATAAAATTTAATAATTTGCGTTTTTTGTTAGTAAGACGATTCATGGTTAAATTATAGACCAAAGATATTTCATGGTGACACAAAAAATGAAACGTGTGTCGGCAGTTTAAGCCAGTGTTGTCAACATATATTTCTCGAGAACTCTTGGTACAGACCTTAAGTATGGAAGTGGCGTGTATTCATAGAAAGAAGCACAGGGTATAGACTGAAATGAGTAAACGTTATGAATTTGAGACGCTGGCCGCGAGAAATACGCCTTTTTCTTCAAAACAATTCAATTCAAAGAATTTCCAAAGCTTCGGTGAGATTGATAATTCAAAGATCGCTCTGGAAACGAATGTTTTGAATGACCTATTTATTAGAGAGGCAAAAAATGAATACTAATGATTAAATAAATGGATACTAAAATAAAATGAAAATAATATTTTTTAACGGAATTAACGAAGTAATGAAAGGTAAGCCGCACTCTCAAACACTCTAATTCGAAGTTCCGTCAAACGACTATGTTGAAGTTCAAATAGCAATTAAAAGTATAAAAACAAATAATCAGATAGAGTGGAGAACGGCTATTCTATATATTATATTAATATAAACATTCAAATCCTATATGCGACTTTAGGAGTCTCTATAAAACTAACTAAAAATTCTGTAGAGGAATAAGGTAAGAATATGGACAATACGAGAACTGTTTTTAACCAAATTTATACGGACAGAGGATCAAAATTAACATCCCATTTGGGATGTAGTTAATTTTAATAAATCTTTTAATAAATTGAAAACCATCTTCCAATACATATACGAAAAATAGCGACAGTACCTTAGCTTTGAGAAAAATATACCAACACAATAGTATTTGCTAGTATTTGGTAAATGATGTTAATTACACCAGCTGGCGGTACCATTGTAGTTGACATTTAATATACTTCATATCTCTTTTTATCTTTTTCATTTCTACATAATTTTTCATATTGTAATATTTATTTTATTTCATCAATTTAATTGCGTTTGAGTTTTCCTTTGATTGCCTTTTCACTTATTTTATAATACTAATTTCATTTATTGAATCTTCTTTTAATAATTTAATTTTGAAGTGAAAGCCATCGTCTCTCTTCAGATTAATACCCAGTAAGCAATTTTACATACCTTATACAACATTTTCATTTCATTTTATTTCCAAATAGATGTCAACCGCAACAGCTGAGTGGTTAAAATTGCGTATTAACAGTCGGAAGGTTAGGGCTCAAGTCCTCTTATGAGCAAATATGAAAATTTATAGAAAATCAATTTTTCCAGTTGCGGTCGCCTCTCAGCAAGAAATGTCAAATCCTTTAAGTACATTTCTGACATCGGTCGTTCGAAGACGACTGTTTGTTTTAAAAAACATTAAGACCTAAAAAACAGAAATTTGGGGTGGAGTTCGGTCGAAGATTGCTTCAGCGCTGACAAAGTGAAAATTCTTCCATAACAGTTATAGTCGCTCAGCTGTTGTCAATCGCTGCCGGCGAGCGACAAAAACAATTTTTTCAGTATTAATTTATTTCAATATTTTTATTTCTTAATTCAAGTTTTGAAAAAAACTTGGTGTTTGAAGAAATTAATTTCACTTATGAAATATAATTCAATAAACAATTCAATTCATTGTTGCGCGTTAGGACAGGGTGATGTCCGATTAAGACTCGTGAAAATCAAAATTACAAAAATACAATACAATTCGATGATATACATACAATACACATACATATGTACGATTATTCATAATTGACATCAACAAATCGACAATTAAGTAAATAAAATCCTCATTAAACACTTCAAGGGAGACAAGTATTCATCAATTGAAGGCAGTGATTGATTTTGCCAAATTCAAAAATTTCAATTGCAAATTATGAATTGCATATCTCTTTGTCTGAAGAGTGCAACGCTTCTTTAATCACAATTCGCACAAGTAGAAGTCTACACAATTCCGAGATTATTCGCACGTGTAGGTATGTCTACAATTTAAGACATTTTGCTGTTAATTCAAATAAAAAACTTTCGCTTTTATTATTATTAGGTTTCTTTCAAAAGAACTTCGTCGAACTGTAATTATTTGATGAGAACAAAAAATTCGGAATTTTATCTTTAGTAGTAAAACTTGATGTAAGTAATATTTTCAGAAGTAAAAACATCAAGAAAGAAGAACTATCTTCGGCCAACCGCACTCTTTATACCTTTCATGATCATATCAGGTCAATGGAATATCATTTTACGTTAAAATATTAATTTTCATTTATGATTTTGCTTATTTTCCGCATCAGTATTTATTTGTAGATGACATTACATTATCTTTCTTGACTCCAAACCACATATGTATCTCAAAAAATCGGTGTATGGGAGCTACATATCTGTTATAGTCGTTCGATTTTAATAATTTGTAGTACCAATGTGTAATTCATTATTTTTCATTTTTTGGGGTTGGTGTAGCCCACACAATGAACTGTATAACCACATCTTCTTTCCCATACTTTTGAAAAGTTACCACTGATTGTCCTGTCGCATTGAAATAAACGAAAGGATTTGAGTCCTTATTGTCTGAGCAAATGACCAATCACAAACAAAAAATCATTTACTTTCCCCTACCCAATCAGGATTTAGTGGTGTGCATGGATGCGATATCGCAATGGTTAAAATTTTAGACGACTTACGAATTTTATATGACAAAGATGAATTATTGCTACTGTTTTTGTTGGAGTTCTACAACGTTTTTAACTCCGTTAATTATATATTGCTCGATTCAAAGCTCACATACTATTTTGGCTTTTGCAAAAATGATGTATCCCTCTTGAAAATATATCTATTAGTCAGAGCCCAGCGTATGAAATTGGATCTGCCCTGAGCCACGGTGCTCCCGTGATCATCAAAGATATCTTCCAGCCTTACCGTTATGTAAATATTCATGCATATTCAGATGATTCCAACATTTACTTATCTGGCTCATTCTTAAATTCCGACTTCTCTTTCTTACTTCACTAATCTTGGATTTTTAATTATTTATTCCAAGTCATAACAAAAAATGTCTGAGCGTCAACCTTATCTATTATAGCAAGTTCGACTCCAAGTCTTCTCATAAAATGTATATCCTGTTTAATGATATCACGCTATATTAATGGAATTCGCAAATTTGAGTATACTCCCATGTCTGCTACTAGATCTAGATCAGGTTGTGGGAAACTAGAAAAGTCATCATCCGAAGAAATTTGAAAGCTTCTTGCGTCTGAATGTACCTATAAATATAAGTATGTACATACATACTCACATATCTGTATAACACATAATTTCGATATTGTATATGAATGAAAACTGTCTGAATACTCTAATTACAATTTGTATACATATGTACACGTTTACTGGTATGTACTCGTAC